ACTTATTTCAATCTATAGTCATTCTAGAACAAAAAAAGCATTATTTAAATTTATTTCCTAATTTTTTGTGGTGGTTATGAGGCCAGTCAAATTGACAGACCCTATAGACTTAGGGGGAGAAAATAACAAAAAATATATAAAGTTTTACTGAAAACAAACATTTGAAATGTATTTAGGAGGTTTTAGAGATTACACAAATAATATTTGAGGTTTATGGGGATGAACAATAGTTTTTTGTTATAACATGAATATCACTTCGACTGGTAATGAAACAGACTTGATATTTTCACAAAAAATCGATAATAAAAATACTTCATTAAAAATCAGATTTTTTGTGTACGAAAGACTTGTAATCTTTATGAAAAGTCTACTAAGTTATGTGAAGTTACACGTAATGCATTAAAAGTTATAGTATAAACACTTAACTCGTGTATATTATACTGAGTCTGTTGCGAAAGGGTAAAAATAAATTGATATTTTACAGTTACCCTATACTCTCATTATTATATGCTGAAAATAATGGACTCTATACCTGGCCTTTGAAAGACAGAATTTACAGTTCTAGGTATGGTTGTCAGTACCATTTCATGAAGTATATGATTTGTACATAATAAATTTAAAATAAATTACCTTTGAGATTCTTTAATTATTTGTAGAAATTAGTTTTAGCTCATAGTTTTTGTTTCTAGTTGTTAGAAAAGATGCAATTGTCTGTCAAGATAAGTCTGAACACAACAAACTCTATAGTTGTGATAGTATGTACTAGTCAGTATTGAGATGTATGTGCAATTGACATAGTGATTTGAGTAGTAATTTTTTGGTTTGGTAAGAATTGACAGATGCTTATTCTGTTAGTTCATTGAAATCAGAAAAATGTGCAAGAAAAGTTATAAAATGTGAGAGATGTTTTACTTACCAACAAAAGTCTGGATACAAAGATATGTTAGTCTTCAGTAGATGTGTGAAAATTGTAAAATTGAAAATTATGAGTGAGCTAGAAGCTGTAGAGCTGATATGTTAGTCTTCAGTAGATGTGTGAAACTTGTAAAATTATAAGTGAGCTAGAAGCTGTAGAACTGCATATTTGTTATACTGAAAAAATGTTAAAGCTAATCAGTGAAGACTGTTTTCCCCAAAACTAAACAACTTCAGACGTAGCATATTGACCAAACATGCCCGAGTAAACTTGAATCCCAATGTGATGTTTAAACTGGAGTCATTTTCTCTTTTTCCCAGTGATCACTTATCCTCATTGTCAATAAGAAGCATCAGAATGTACAAATGTTTCTATTGCTGGCTTAAGTTTATATGAACAGAGTGTAAAAACAGTGGAAGCTGATTTTAAAATATTTGTTATTAAATTACAGTCTCTTCTTCGATTAAAATTAAAGCTATTTCTTCAAATCCATTGTGTTATAAGTTGATACCTTAATCTAATAGTTTACCTTAATATTTACATCTAAATATTTTGAATGTAATTGAATATTAACCTATAATTTATATCTTTTTTTTTTATATCCTTCAGGGGGCAGTTATTTCTCCTAGTGATGAGGACAGTCAAACTTTTACAGTCAGTGCCGTCTGTGGTGAGGTTTACAGGTTGCGAGGTAAGTTTTAGTCTTTTTAGAAAGTTACCACCAATATAATTTTCTTTTCTTTTTTTGTCTGTGTGATAAAAACAACCTATGTTTGTTTGCTCTTTCCAAAATTATCAGGTTAGAAAAAGATTAAATCAAAATTATTTTTTTTTCCTGTGTACCAGAGAATTCTAGCACTGGTCAAAGCACAGGCTCTCCTCTCTCCAATTGTAGCGGCCCATTGCAGTACATTTCTCAGTACTGCTGTATCTTCCTTAATAATTCTTCAAATATCATAGTTTTTCTAATTATGTTATTACAAAACAATATTACATTTTGTGTTTTCATTGGAAGTGTTTGGGTGGATAAAGCTAATCACTCTGCACAGAATAATTGAAGGATAACTGACATTTATAGTGTTATAGCTGTAACAAGGCAAAGCCACTTATGAAATAATGTAAACCATTGCCTCAGCTCATTACTTTGTATGTAAACAAAGCATATTATGATCAGTAATATCACTTGAAAAGCAAATATTTGGTCTTTCAGCTTACACAACATAGTGATTATAAAGAACACTCAATATTTAAAATGATTATATCTTAGAAACTACTCCTCCCAGAGGAACAGACTTTCATCAGAGGCATATTGAGAATTATGTGTTATTCAGAAAAGTTGGGACATAGTAATTATTGTTTCAAAATCATAACATAACAGGCTCGACATGGCCAGGTGGTTAGGGCGCTCGTCTCGCAATCTGAGGGTCGCGGGTTCGAGTTCCCGTCACACCAAACATGCTCACCCTTTCAGCCATGGGGGCGTTATAATGTGACGGTCAATCCCACTATTCGTTGGTAAAAGAGTAGCCCAAGAGTTGGCGGTGGGTGGTGATGAGTAGCTGCCTTCCCTCTAGTCTTACACTGCTAAATTAGGACGGCTAGCGCAGCTAGCCCTCGTGTAGCTTTGCGCGAAATTCAAAACAAACAAACAAACATAACATATAACATAACATTTAGGGACAACATTGGACTTATTGGTCCATCTTGGCTATTCCATCCTCTAAACTAAATTAAAATGATTAAAAAATAAATAAAATAAAATAAAAATATATCTTAAAGCCAGCCCTTTTCATTCATATACTTAATAATGTTTTCTTAAACTCACTTAAATTTACTGCCTCTAAACATCTGAAGGCAACCCATTCCAAAGGCCAACCACCCTGTTAGAAAAAATAAAACTGTCTTTGCTGAAGATGACTCATACCTAGCCAAAATTTATATTTGTGTCCCCTAGTCTTACTACTCTCATTGTTATTCCCATCCAAATTATACTTATAATTCAAATTATGATAATCCACATGCATCTTGCATTTATTATAATTAAAACCCAACTGCCATTTATTTGCCCAACTCACTGAATGATCTAAACCCTTTTGTAAATCAGCAGCATCCTCTTCACAGCTAGCAACACCCAAGACCTTAATATCATCAGCAAGTCTAAGTAATTTATTGACTATCCCTTCATTTATGTCAGTGATGTAAATCAAAAAGAGCAAGGGCCTAAGACTGAGCCCTGAGGTACCCCACTTGTGACATTAATCCACTCTTCTATCCAATTTGCTAACTTATTCACCACATCTATAGAGCTAATTTTTTTACAAGCCTTTTATGTGGCACCTTGTCAAATGCTTTCTGAAAATCCAGATACACCAAATATACACCATTACCCTTATCTACATAAGCAGTAACCTTTTCAAAGAATGTCATTAGATTTGTAAGGCAAGATTTTCCCTTAGTGAAACCATGTTGACTATCTAATAAAATTCTAAACTTTCTTAAATGACTTTGCAAAGCATCTTTTAACAAACTTTCCAAAACTTTTCCCACAACTGATGTAAGACTAATGGGTCTATAATTACTGGGACAGTTTCATCACCTCCCTTGAAAAGAGGAGTTACATTAGCTAACTTCCAATCCTCTGGTACCTGCCCACTATTCAAGAACTGACACAAAATAGTAATAAGTGGTTCACATATCCAATCTTTAACCTCCTTCAAAACTCATGGGGAAATATTATCTGGCCCAGGAGCATTATCATTTTTTTAAACTTCCCAATTTTTTCTTAACCAGCTCAGAATTAATGCAGTCATCTGGTTTGATCTCGTTTTCCATTTATCAACTGATCAAGATGTGGAATACTGCTTAAATTTTCATAAGTAAAAACTGAAGAAAAAGTAAAATTT